TTGACTGTGTTTTGAAAAGTAAAAGAATGGTTTTATCTTTATTACATGTGTATTCAACCTCTTTTCGTTTTTTTTAGACTCAGTAAGAGTCAGAATTCAAATCTACTCTGCAATACACTTCCTCAAAGAAATCTATAATCTATGGAAACTACCTGAAGGGTGTGTTTAAAAATGCCAAACCATTAAAAAGAATGAACCAAGTATAAATGATAAAAATATCAGGACTTGTTGCATTAGTTCCAAGATTCATTGTTGATTTTAATTTTTGTACTTGGAACTTATTATTACAGTCATTTTTATCATTCAAAATTATTTCGATGTTTCTATTTTTTAGTGGTTAAAACAGTTCTTTTCAATAGACTTCACTGAAGATAGACACAACAAAGATAAAATTTGAAAAAGGCCTAACTAGTGTATCCTTAAACGCTTATAACAGTGGCATGGATTCAATTTGTATTCAGTTAAGCTCTCTTAAGCATTCCACTATAATAACATGGCTGCTGACTTGTTCAGTATTTTTCAATAGTATTTATGGGAGATGGGTGTCATAAGATGATCTCCAGGGCCACTTTTTACTCTAGCCGTAAAATTGATTATTGTTGTTATTGTACTAAGAAAATATTGGCTATAATCATCTTCATTATAAATTAAACTATCAAAATCACTCTGTTTACTCATGATCAAACAGATAATTTAGAATAATTTACTCTGTTGGCAAAGTTAGTATCATTTGCTAATGTTATCAATTCACAAATCATGCCCTTATTATTAACTACCGTATTAGAAGTGCCTAGTTTACGTGCTTCAGCCAAGAACACCAAATATAAAGCTCAGGATAGCATATGAATAAATTTATAATTTGGATTGCTGCCAGTTACCTTCACGATGGGTAATGGTTAATCTAATCAATTTAACATTAGCCTATCTCAAGGAGAGATAAGCCAGATTTCCTGTAGACCTATCACAGAAAATAGAGCATATCTTCAAAATGGTATAGAACCACTAAACTTATAAAATTGACAATGGGAAATTAATTTTAAAAGAAACATATAACACAGAGCTAACAAAAACTCCAATTTGTTTTTAAACACAACTTCACAAAAACAAATAAACAGAGTTTTTGATAATAAGCACATTATCTACAATTCTACTTTTCAATAAATAACTAAGTACCTACCTTAGGAAATCTTTCTTTGTACACACTATTCATTAAAATAATATCATTATCCACGCCCGATGATCTCATGCGGCTGCTGTTAAAACATAAATACAAAATACAGAATTAATAAATTTTATCACTAACCTGAACTAACTTCTAGAGAGAAATAGTTTTTTAAGGTATCAAACAATTTTCATAACTAATCAAAAAACTTTCAAATTTTGGTATTATAAACCCATAACTGGTAAGAACTAAAGAAGAATTTCCAATTTTATTTTTGTAATATTATTTAAATATTTCCTTACATACTTTTACTGTTAAGTGATGATCAAATTTAGCTTACTCTGTTAACAAACTTGACTGCAAAATCACCATTACATTTAACATAGAAAACTAACTAGAAAAAAAAAAAAACATGTAAAGAAACTCATTTGTGAAGCCAATGTAAAAACCTCAAGCTTCGAGATCGTGGGCGCATCAGTGGAGACCTGCGGCTATCTTCTTCTAAAGGTGGATTACTCTCACTGCTACTGAATCTCATTGTCTGTTGCTGCTCCTCTAGAATATAGCATGTTGGAAGAGGGTGAAGTTTCTCTTGAGAAGAACACTCAGACTGAAAAATGTTAAAAACTTAAATATGTGGCTTGACCTTTATCCAAATGTTACAACAGTGCTAAGCTGGTCTGTTTTAGTAGGTTTGTTTTTTATTTTTTATTGTTTGTAAATAAATTACAGGAAATTTATTAATAAACATTTTATTATTCAATGTGCATAACTTTAGGCTACCCAACAGATGGAAGAAAAGCTACAGAACTTCATAAGTAATTCTAAAGAGATTGATCCAGTGATCAGCTCAGATGCTGTAGCTCACTTTGCTCACCATCAAGTAGTAGAAACGGCTCGAGACTGTTTACAGAAATCACAAGAGAAGCTTGTGTCTTCACAGTTATTTTTGTGAAATGTCTGAAAATTTAGAAAAATTACTAAGTGAGGTAATTTATTTCTTTGCAAATAATTCTGCTTGTTTGCTATCCAAAATTAGTCTAATGTGCTTATCTTACTGTTTCCACTTTCTCTCTTACAGTATGAAGAAATATAAGTCGTCGTTACATTGTTCTTCTGCATATAAACAATCTGTAGGAATTATCTTAATTGTCTTTGAGAGATGACACATGTCATTAATTTATGTTGTGGAATTTTTCCTTCAGGGCATGCTGATCTTTTATGTCCAGCATTGGAGATGTTTTGGTAACATATTCTGCTGTCTTTTTGAACAGAATGAACTCTTTAATGTTTTTAGAATTTAATGAAATCATTTCATAGATATAGGTAATCTGCTTGTTTAGCTTAGTTTGTACATTGTACTTGCTAGTTAAACAAAACCAATTGGTATATATTTCTTTCAGTTTATACAAATACAAAAAATATGTGTTTCATGTCTTTTAACTAAAAAATAAAATATGACTACCTTCTTAAGTGTGGAGAGTTGTTCTTTTCTTTTTCAAACAACTGATTGTGCATGTAATTTATCAAAAGCTAAGAAAAAAGATCAAAACTTTTCTTACTAGTGTGCATGTTGTGGCCAAGATTAATGTGTAGCTCTATTACTGCCCATAAATGTAAATATTATTATCGAAATATTTCTGAGCTGTAGTTTGACAAAACAAATGGGTTTTTCTGTCAATCAAGTGGAAAACAGAAAGTCCAATAAATAAATGTATATACACAATGCCACAAACAGGCTTTTCAATTACTTGGATTAAACTTATGTTCTACATACAAAACTATTTTCTCTGCATATTTGAATTAAATTTGTTTGGAAGAAAAAGTACCATTTCTCCAAAACAAAATTTACTTGATGTGAATATTTGTTTTGCTATTTTAGTTATCAAATAGTATGAGTAATTAGTATTACTCGGTATCCTTGAAAACTTTTAACTGTTTACAGGACCACTCATGATGTATAAACATACACATTTGGACTGTTTTATTTTTTTTCAGTCTATGTTATTTGACTGAATGTGCACGAGCTTGGTTCATTGTGCCGACAGCATATTCAAAAAGGAATATTGACTACAATTCCAATTTTATTATGTGAATCTACATGAAATGTGGCAAGCTTTTAGGAAAATGTATAAGTCTGTTGTACAAAAAACATCAGATGAGTTACAAAGATATTTCTACTCAAGATATGTCTGACTTAAGATTCTGACAAGTCAGAATGAAAGGTGATGTTCATATGAAGGATAAAAAGTTTTGTTCATTGCACAGTTTGCATACTGCATTTGCATAAACTCTAGAACCTCTAAAAAGCATCTGTATCTGTTATGTACTATTTTTTACCATGAAATGTCACTAAATCAGCAGTGTAGAGTAAAATACATAGTTGATAACTCTGACATCAAATACATAATATCATGTTGAATGGCACTCTGTGAAAGGTTGTGGCCCATACCTGTGCATGTTGGGTT